AGAGCACCCTCACTAATGTCAGAAGCACCCTCAGTGATTATTTCTGGTTGGTATACGCTTTTATTGTATAGCCTACAAAAACAACAAAATACAAATGCACTAGATAAAATAATTTAATAAATGCATATTTACAATTTAAGCACTTAACTAAAATAAGTATTAAATAATTAAATAAATAACTAGAGAAGGCGGACTATAACCAGTTTGCTTCCATTTAGTAAGAAAAGCCTTGGCTACTCTTCACCTGAATTAGAAAAAAAAGCTCTTCTGGTGTTCAGTGATGCGAGGACAACGTTTGAGCGTGTACACGCAATATCTGAGCGAGAGCAGAGCCAATTCATAAAAAAACAAAAAAAAACAATATATAGTTAAAAGCACACGTCCAGTTTTGTATGAGTGAAGGAAATCCGCTTGCGGATTCTTGTGGTGAGATTCTTGCTCACGCATTACATGGATCGCGTAACATTATGCGCTCTTGACATTTGTCATTAAGATCACGCTATAGAAACCGCTTAAAATTAAGTATAAAGAAGAGCAGAAAGTGGCCCTAGGCAGCTGCCTACACAGGATCCGCCCCTGCCAGATGCAGTTAGAAATTTACTAAAAACAAACCTATCGCAAGATATCTGGTAAGGGGGGGGGGGCACCTGGTGTGGCCAGCCAGATTTCAGGGGGGGCGGTGCCACCACGTAGACACGCCCCTGGTCACGAGGCGATCACGTGAGGCGCTCCCTCTGGCATGATAATCTTAATAATATCTCGTAGTGTGTGATGCGCCATGATGTTCAAATCTTGTAGTGTGTGCATGTTTAAGATTTGAGAGAAGATAATCTGCAAAGATTCTCCTTATGTGTGTGCTGCAACCAGATTTCATAATCGGTTAGGATTTTAAAACTCCTGTAGTGTGAGCCCAGCTTTAAAGTTGTCCAAATGAAGTTCTTAGCAATGCATATTACTAATCAAAAATTAAGTTTTGATATATCTACAGTAGGAAATTTATGACATGATCTTTACTTAATGTTCTAATGATTTTTGGCGTAGAAGAAAAATCAATAATTTTGACCCATACAATGCAATTTTGGCTATTGCTACAAATATACCCCTGCGACTTAAGACGTCTTAAGTCTTTTCCCTGCCTCACATTAAAACTTTCCTAAAATGGACATCCTAACAAGTATAATGTTATGTCTGCATTATGTATATACTCTTTAGATGTATTTTGTCTAGATGCTTGCTTATCGCCTTGAGCACTGTCTGAAAGCACTATATAATGTAAACGTAGTTATTAGTAACAGCATGATACAACTGGTCATGTGATCTCAAAATTAATAATTTGAGATGCACCTGTACATTTTAATCATACCAAATCAAGTGCTATTTATTTCCTTTATGTATAGAATAAAAAATGCACTTTTACCTAGTCTTGCACTGCAAGATCAGTTCATGTTGGTCTGGCTCACAAGGATGGTCTAGAGTTCAGGCCGGTGATGTATGACTTCCATCACTTCTGCTCCGAATTCTCATTTGTATTCTCCTGCCCCTTCCCAATTTATGCTTTCTACGCAAACGCCACTGAAGGTAATGATGCAGTACGGGTACATTTCATTGGTGTACTAATGATCTCTCTGTTTTTTCCCCCTTATTTTTGTTCCTTGTGTGCAGTGATGCGGAGAGCTGGTTCTGCGCGTGTCCTTCAGTTTACTCCGGTAAGCTGTGCCAGTTCACTGCCTGCGAGCGAAACCCGTGTGCGCTCGGCGCCACCTGCATTCCCCAGACGCGGCTCGAAGCAGTGTGTCTTTGCCCCTACGGAAGACAGGGTCTCCTCTGCGATGAGGGTAGGTCCCGTCAAGGTTCGTGCGTAGACGGTGATTTACACCAGTATCCATGGAGACACAATGAAGCCGGCATGGCCAGAGGGTGTTTCGTTTGTTGCATTCTGAGGTTTGTTTTCCTCCATCTCCTGCGAGCACCTCCATTTTTGAGGTTAGACCCATAGGTGGTAGATTGAAATGTATTCCCAGCGGTTTTGTTTAACTGATGCAAGCCGTTGAAATACGGTTCCAATTTGAGAAGCTAAGTGCTCTGAGCTTGCTACAAACTCACTAAACAGTTACTGAACTATGAACATTTAAGGATAACTGCCAGTCTGCGTTGTATTGCTAACTCGATTCCTCTATGTGCACTGACCTTTTGAGGTGTCTACAGGTAATGGAGTATGCATCCAAATATAATGAGCACACCAAGTGCTTTAAATTGGGCTACTCTGAAACTTAATTTATCAAAGCGTAGTCACAGAATGTACTCTCTGCAATTGGGTTTGTTTTATTGTCTCAAATAACAAAGCTGTGAAGACATACTACAGCGCTGTGTAACTAATGTACTTCTCTTTCCGGCTCTACCTCTCAGTGTTAAGTCAGCTAAAGTCCGATATCTGCTTTCACAGATAGCTCTTCATCTTCTCAACTGCGCTTCGAGGGAAAAGAACTGCTGCTATTTTGCTGTAATCTAATTGGGTGGCATGGTTTGAAGACCGCTTGGCACAGCACGCCGGGCAGGCCTAGCATACGTCGCTCTGTCAGACAGTAAAGAGCCCGATGCCAAATGGAGTGTTCTAATCTCGCAGTGTCACACCGAGTGGGACTGACATTTGAATTTAAAGGCTGATAACAGCAGATAACATCAATCAATATTGATTAGTAACCAAGGCCTTGCTGTCTCTGGACAGTCACTCAACTTTAGATGTGCCGGACTTCAAATGAGCTTGGACTAATGGAATTATAGGAAGGGTGTTTTGAGTCGGTTTTATGTATTGATTTAGTGTTGCATTTAGATACATTTTTACTTTTAGTAATGTATTTTTATAGATTACTCAAAAAAACACAAAAATCTTATTTTCTAAGTTGCCAGGCAACATAATAACTGCTTAAATTAACTTTAAAGAAAAATAAATTTATTGGAAAAAATGGCTGTTATGCTTCAGTGTTGTATTAGTTTTATCTGAATACTATGATAGTATTTATTAACATTTTCAATTGTTTATTTTTATTTTTTAATTTTATTTTTAAATTAGGCTTGTCATTTTAATAATAATGTTTATTTGTACTTTTTTATATTTCCATTTAGCTATCATTTTAATTTCAGGACAAGAATTACAAAAACTTAAATTCTTAAATTATTTAAGTTAGTTGCCATGGCAACATTTGAATTTTTTTACAAGTTTAAGATTTTCATCTAATGGTTATAATTTATTGTATTTCAGCTTTGTTTCAATTACCGATAACAATTTTTAGTTTTAACACCAACACGGTCGTGCACATTTTTTTTTTGTTTTTATTTCACCGTAAGTTGAAGTACTAAAATGACTTAAATTAAAGCTTATTTTTATTTTATTTTAATTTAAGTTTCTAATATGTATATTTCTTCAGCTTTACTTAAATTGCCAATAATACTTTTATTCAAAAATAACAGCAGTCATGGATTTTTATTTTATTATTTTACTTTGACCTGACCAACTTAAAATGTATTTGCATAATTGCAGCTTTATTATCAAAGAATTCGTTTTTTTTAGAAGTCAGAATTCACAGGCAGATAGATTGAGCTTTCGATTGATCATGGGAGCTTGTATTGCTGAAAGCAGCTTGAGGCTGCAGTGGAGTTTAGAGGACAGACTGTGTTCTCTGACGCACCGTTAACATCACACTCACCTAAAATAGACCCATAACATAATAGCACATCTGTCCTAAACCGCCTTACAGCCTTAACTCACACATCATGTGACTTCCTGTATTTTCATTTCACCCTCACCAGGCTCTGCATCGAAAGATTAAACAATCATCTTGTGGAAAGTGTATAGGATCAAATAGATTCTGTGAGGAGTTGCTCACATGTGCATATCTTTATTTTTATGCCTTTATTTAATTTGTGTGTGTGTGTGTGTGTGTGTGTGTCAGTGGTAAGAGAAGGGGGAAAAAAAGCAAAATGTCTCGGAGTCCAGCCAACACAGCTGACAAAGCGATTGAATTTCACTACAGCAAAATCCTTACACACAAATGGTTTTTGACTAGAACGAATGGAAATAAATGGGTAATATGTCACCTGTAAAAACTGCCAGGGAGTTGGAGGTTTTGTTTTCTTGTTCCTTTATTCACCTCCAGCAGCAACAGCAGCAGAATAATACAGCAGAGAGAAGCATCCTGTGCTCTGCAGTGCCTTTGCATGGAAAGTTAAACGTTAGTTATGGTTATTTGTGGACAGATCTTTATCCTGTCATATGGGACATTCACAGATACATTTTTAGTTATTAGAAGAATTGTAAAAAATTATAGTGTTTTATTCATGTATCAGAAGTGAGAAATACCTCAGGGAAAGCAAGTTTTTCATGTCTAATTATTGCAATTCTGATCACTTCTGAATGCTAGAATCAGAAATCCCATTTGACTTTGGAAATGAGCTCGAATCACACACCCTTGCACAGGACTGCAGTTGGTAATTGGTATTCTCAAAAAGTACCCAATATGTCTGATTAATAAATGGCCAGTTTATTAATGAATTTCACTTGGAGCAAGAAATGTAACTCCGCATAGGCAGCATATCACAGAGTCATTACATGACACTGTGAGTTAAGAATACAGCTGGCCCCATCAAGCCAGCGCTGCTAAAAATGCATTCTAGTTGTTCATTAGGCGCTGTGCAAATAAACCGTGACAAGGTAATATATGTGCAATTTCAAAAGGCATCAATAATTCAAGGGGCGAGCAGAGGGAAGAACTTCAGTGCTGTTTCCAAAGAAATCCTCCGGAGAGGCTTTGCAGACTGCACAGTTCATAAAAACAAAATGAGGGGTGGAGACAACTCTTTAGGTAGCACATTTTTTTTCACTGGAGAAAACGTGTGTAAATGCTTAATGTACCCAAGCTGAAATGTTTCTGACCAATGCTTGGTGGACCAGGTGATTAAATGTTGAGATTTTCCTCCTCTGAAATGAATTGTCCAAAGTAACAGCCATTCAACAAATTCTGATTTCTGCAGATATCACTGTTACGACCAATGTCCATTCCCAGAGTAAAATGGCACAAAATTACAATAATAATCGTTAGCAGCAGCTTCGTTCCCCACAGGAAATAATAATGCATAGAATTTGACAAGTGCAATAAATGGTGCAATATCGCCATCTTGTGTCTCTTTCTCAGACAGCTGCTGGTAACTTCACCTCAGTAAAATTGTTTGTCATTTTACAGATTTTTATTTTTATTCAGACTTATTTCAATGCATTTCTCAAGTACAGTTGGGAAAATATTTATTTGATCCCCTGCTTATTTTGTACATTTGCCCACTTTCAAAGAAATTAAGGGTCTGTAATTTTTATGGTAGGGTTGTTTTAACATATAGAGACACATTATAAAGAAAAAAAACGTATTATTATTATTATTATAAAGGTTAGAAATTGATCTGCATTTCAGTGAGTGAAATAAATATTTGATCCCCAAGCAAAACATGACTTAATACTTGGTGCAGAAACCCTTGTTGGCTAGCACAGAGGTAAGACGTTTCTTGTAGTTGGTCACCAGGTTTGCACACATCTCGGAAGGGATTTTGGTCCACTCCTCTTTATAGATTCTCTCTAAATTCTTAAGGTTTTTTGACTGTCGTTTGGCAACTCGAAGTTTCGGCTCCCTCCACAGATTTTCTATAGGAGTGAGGTCTGGAGACTGGCTAGGCCCCTCCATGACCTTAATGTGCTTCTTCTTGAGCCACTCCTTTGTTGCCTTGGCGGCATGTTTCGGGTCATTGTCGTGCTGGAAGACCCATCCATGACCTATCTTCAGTGATCTGGCTGAGGGAAGGAGGTTCTCGTCCGAGATTTTACAGTACATGGCCCCGTCCATTTGCCCCTCAATGCAGTGAAGTCGTCCTGTACCCTTAGCAGAAAAACAGCCCCAAAGCATAATGTTTCCACCTCCATGCTTGACTGGTGACTGTGATTCCACCAAATACAACATGTTCTTGGATCAACATCCTTGTTGACCAAAGATCCAGGAACATGTCTGTCTTGGCAAAAATCACGGCGGCCACATTTGACTGTAGGGATGGTGTTCTTGGGGTCATACTCAGCATTTCTCTCCCTCCAAACACGGCGAGTCGAGTTAATGCCAAAGAGTTCAATTTTGGTCTTATCTGACCACAGCACTTTCTCCCTTGCCTTCTCTGAATCATTTAGATGTTCATTGGTAAACTTTAAACGGGCCTGTACATGTGCCTTCTTGAGCAGGGGGACCTTGCTGGCGCTGCAGGATTTCCGTCCTTTGTGGTGTTGTGTTTTACCAATGGTTTGCTTGGTGACTGTGGTCCCAACTGCATTAACAAACTGACATTAGGAGTAACTTCTTAAAGTGACAGGACTAATCTGTGTTCCACATGGGCAAATAACCAATCTGTGGGAGCCAGAATTCTTACTGGTTGGTAGGGGATCAAATGCTTATTTCACTCACTGAAATGAAAATCAATCTCTAACCTTTATATAATGTCTTTATTCTGTCTCTATCCATTAAAATAAACCTACCATAAAAATTACAGACCCTTCATTTCTTTGTAAGTGGGCAAACTTACAAAATCAGCAGTGAATCAAATAAATATTTTCCCCACTGTATAATTATAGTAAATGTAGCAAGAATTGAACCCGCAACCCTTGCGATAGGTCACCATTAACCATTATGTTGCCATAGCCCTGACTTGTTTTATTATTATTATTATTTTAGGCATATGTTTTTTTTATTATTATTAAATGTATATTGAAAATAATTTGTTTTTAATTTTATTAATTTAAAATAATTTAACAATTTTATTTGAATAATTTAGTTATTTATTTTATTTCTTTGCAGCTGTCAACATCACTCGGCCCAGGTTTAGTGGACTTGATGAATTTGGATACTCATCCTATGTGGCTTATCCTTCTATACCCAGTATCGGTCATTTTTATGAATTCCACCTGAAGCTCACCTTTGCCAATAATGTCTCCGCTTTGAGAAACAACCTCATTTTCTTTTCTGGGCAAAAGGGACAAGGTGAGTAAAAATGGGAAAATTGTCTTATTTCTTTATATTTGTTACTCCATCTTTCTTTATTCACTTTGATTTCAGCGCATCCCTCAGTGGTTATCATACTATGCCGTATATATGGTGTATGAAAGAAAGAGCTGGATTCATAGCAGTTTGGCTGTAAAACGTTTTCCCAGCATTATGAGGTCATGTTAGTGGAAGTGAGGTTCAGAAATGGTATCACTCAACTAGGAGATATTAATGGAGCAGCTGCTGTAAAATGTGCTGTAAGTGTAAGTCCATGACCCAACAGCAGAGACAATTTATCTGTGCACACAACGGGGCGATGATTTTTATTATCTGCCATAAGAGAAAGATCTGTTATATATGAGGTCTCTAAAGAATCTCAGATAATGGAGAACTCTTGACCATAGTATTCAAACTAGGCTGTAAAGATAGTAAATGCAGACTTATTTACCAATAAAAACATTTACACATCTCTAATTTATAGACTAGTATTATTAATAATCATTTAATAATAAATAGGGTGTAATAACATATAATAATTATAATGTTATAATTATATAAATGTATTTTTAAAGTCTTTCTTACCAGCTAAAAAAAAGTTAAACATTGTTAAATGATAAATTACTTGAAGGTAGTAGATATATTAAGAGTTGTTTTCAGAAAAAAACCAACAAATCAACTTCCTGCTGAAAATGGCGTAAAGAAGAGCTGTCGTTTTGAGAGACACAGCATCTCGGGCCAAGTTTCCTCATGCCTTGATTTCCTCTGCCACCATCGGCAATTTATTTTAAGGTCCGTTTCAGTGGCTGCTAACTGACACGTCACTGCTACGAACATGTTTAATCAAAAGACAGGCAGCTGAATATAAGCGTAAGGGGGGTATGAATCTTCCTGTTCAGAGAGCGTCTCTCGGGATTATAGTTTAGGATGATTCATCGAGGGAAAGAGAGAAGAGGACAGTGCTGTGAATAATGAAGCAATTGTCAAGGGGGCCGTGCAGCACAGTGGCGGACAAAATCAAAAAGAAGGAATCGGAGGATGAGAAGGCAACTATTCACCTGATGATAATTGGCCAGATAAATTAGATCCATCAGTTCAAAAGAAAAATAAATTACGTTTTATAGATGGCCAGTGTTGTGCCGAATTCTGCACCCCTGCCAGATTATGCATCCCCCTCATTGAAGTCGCTACCTGATTGCCTAATCCCAACCCCACCCCTAATCCTAACCCCTCCCCCACACCTGTTCCTAAACCTACCAATACAAGGGGATGCATAATCTGGCAGGGTGCAAATTTCGGCACCACACCGGATTGACCTGGACCACCAGTGAAAATGCTTCAGTTTGACATACTTTTCTAATTTATTACTTTTTTGCATAGTTATTGAGTGATTAGTGATCACATCAAAATTAGTGATTCATTTTACCTCATGCATTTTTCTAAATCCGTTTATTTCCAGGTTTAAACGGGAAATAAAAATCCCAGATTTCCGATATGTTCTCAGACTTTTGGTCCCCACTGCATGTGCTAATTGGATTCTGTGTGTTGTTGTTTCTGTGAAGGCATCAGTGGTGATGACTTCTTCGCATTGGGGGTGCGGAACGGCAGGATTGTTCATAAATATAATCTCGGCTCGGGTTTGGCAACAATTATCAGTGAGCGCCTGAATCCGAGGATCAACATTCACACGGTGCACTTTGGAAGACATCTGAAAAACGGATGGCTGAAGGTGTTTTGTTTTTTTTTGTTTTTTTTATTCATATAAAACATTATTAAATGGCTTGGCTTCACTGGGGGCAAAGGTTGGTCTGACCTACTCAGTGCTAATACAATGTTATTTTTAGATTTACTAGTCTCGTACTAGTTCATAAATTTGGGGTCAGGTGTTTTTTTTTGTTTGTTTGTTTTTGTTTTTTTTTAAGTTAATACTTTTATTCAGCAAAGATGCATTAAATTGATGGCAAGGGATGGTAAAGACCTATTTATAGTGTTAAAGATTTCAAATAAATGCTGCAGCTAGTCATGAAGAATCCTGAAAAAAACTGATTATGAAAAATAAAGATAGTAAATATTGTTATGAGTATACAAATATTTGGGGCTTGTGTACCAGTAAAAATATTTAAACATCTTTAAATGATAAATAATTCATATCAATAATTTAATAATTATACATTATAATAAATGTACAAAAATAATTGTAATTATTATAGAAATATTTAAAGAAACAAAAATAAAATCTTGCTTACCAGAAAAATCGTTTTAAAGTTATAAATCACGTGATGTATATTATAGAGATTAAGTGTAGTTTTTAGAGAATACTGTATATAATTTATTTAGTTTTTTTAAGCATAAACCAATCTTATTGAAAAATCTCATGGGATTTTTATATATATATATATATATATATATATATATATACTGTGTATATATATCTCTCTTAAGAAGTATCTTTTATGTAACTATGAATTTTAAACTGTAAATCTTAACTCTAATCTTAGCTATACATTTTGCTTCTCAAATGCATATATTTTGTTACTTGAAAACGACATGAAAATACTCATTAAAAAAGGGGTTTCTGGCATTTATGTATTCAAGTGCAATGTAAGTACCATTATAAAATAATAATTGCTATTCGTTTAAAAATGCAAGACAAAGCCAGTAGCCTGTCTCTAAGAATGCTGAACAAAAATAAATAAATACAAGAAATGACGGGGGACGGAAATTCAAAGCGTTTTCTTGTTCTGAGTCGCCAATTTTGACACTAAGGTCTTTTTGACCAGCTGACGTCACTTTGGTTTGTTCTTTTTCTGAACAGGTTGATGGGCAGAAGAGGAGGATGGGTACATCCCCTGGACCACTGGTGGGCTTGAACACCTTTAGTCAACTTTATGTGGGTGGATATGAAGAATACACACCTGAGCTATTGCCTGCGGGCTCTCGATTCCAGAACAGCTTTCAAGGTAGTATGTTTTTTTCATTATGGTCTTGTTTGATGTCTTGATTCAGATTGTCAGTTCATGATGAAATCAGTCTTTCTTACTTGGATCATCTGTGTAGAGAAAGTAACATGCGTGAATTGATGTTCTGCTTATTTTATGAACATCTGTAGCTCTGAGGGGACCCTTAACCTTGTGTGCAATATGTGCAATCATCCAGCACAAAGCTTTATTGAAACAGACATTTTAATGCTAACAAAATATGGTGTTTTCAGGTTGATGTTATTCTGAGGGAATTACTCATAAAATGTTACAACTTTTGATCCGTCAAAAGTTTAGACACCTGCTTTATGAAATAACACAAACAGATGTACAGGAACTATGTATTGACCAAACAAATAATTCAAATTATGTTCTTTTGGGGAAAAAAAAAAAAAAGGCTTTTAAAACTTTATCATTGTAAAGAAATTGACATCTACAAAATTAATGAAAGGAATAGTTCACCCAAAAATAAAATTTGCTGAATATTTACTCATTCCAAGATGTAGATGAGTTTTTCTTCATCAGATCAGATTTGGAGAAATTTAGCATTACATCACTTTTTCACTGCAGTCCAAACAGCTGATAAAAACATTACAGTAATACACATGACTCCAGTCCATTAATTAACCAGTGAGTGCAAACTGTCTTTTTTCTTTTTCTTTTTTTCTTCATCAAAAGCTATTCCGAAAAAAAAAAAAAAGGCTTTTAAAACTTTATCATTGTAAAGAAATTGACATCTACAAAATTAATGAAAGGAATAGTTCACCCAAAAATAAAATTTGCTGAATATTTACTCATTCCAAGATGTAGATGAGTTTTTCTTCATCAGATCAGATTTGGAGAAATTTAGCATTACATCACTTTTTCACTGCAGTCCAAACAGCTGATAAAAACATTACAGTAATACACATGACTCCAGTCCATTAATTAACCAGTGAGTGCAAACTGTCTTTTTTCTTTTTCTTTTTTTCTTCATCAAAAGCTATTCCTTGAAGGATACACCTTTTAAAAAAGGTTGATAGGATTTCAGGTTCTGTGTTTTTCTGAATGTTACATTTACTAGACTTTTAGAAAAAGCATCTGGGGCATGCTGGGATGTTCATTGAATGTTTTCAGAGCTTACTGCCCCAGTGATTAGAAGAGCTTAGTTTGGGGTCAGTAAGTGTTTTTTTTGTTAGTTTTTTTTATATATATATGTGTATATATGTGTGTGTCTGTGTTTGAAGGGCGTCTATCCTTTTCAGATTTATTTCATCAAATATCTGCATTCATTTTGTCAAAAATACAGTAAAAAACAATATTGTGAAACATTATTACAATTTAAAATAACTATTTTCTATTTATTATATTTTAAATTGTAATTTATTCCTTCATTTATTTGACCAGAAATGCAGTAAAAACAGTAATGTTTTCTTATTCATTTCTTATTATCAGTGTTGAAAAAAGTTTTGCTGCTTCAAATGTGACATTTTTTCAGAATTCTTTCAAAAGAACAGCATTTATTTATTTTTTGTAACTATGTAAAGGTCTTTACTTTAACTTTTGATCAATTTAATGCATCTTTGCTGAATAAAAATTAATTTCTTAAAAAAAAAAAAAAATGTTGACCCCAAACTTTTGATGCTGTATGTTGATGCTGTGTACAGGGCCGTTTCTAGGCATAGGCGAGCTAGGCGGTCGCCTAGGGCGCCACCAGCTGAAGGGGCGCCAATGAGCGCACGTACTGGCAATTTTAGCAGGGTTGTGATTAAAGAATGGCATGGTCACCCTGAAATATGACTGCCGCCCCCACTGGATCCCCCAAACTTATTGGGCTAGAGCAGTGTTTCCCAACCGGGGTGCCGTGTAAAAAATCCTTTTTTTTTTTTTTTTTAATTGCTAAAATGTTAATAAAAGCAGCTATTATATAATATCTATTTCTGATGTCGCCAATAATTAGAGAGGCACTGAAATTTCGGCTACCGAAAATTAGTTCACCACTCAGGTTTCACTTTCACGTGATGTGCGTATTATCCTGCTCCATGCGTGTGTGTGTGTGTGTGCGCTCCGCTCAGTCGCTCACGGCCCATGTGAGTGCTCCACTCATATACCGTTCATGCTCATCGGAACAGCAAAGTCCACTCAAAAATCAAGCTGACAGGAAACATAGATGTAGTACAGTATTGTTTCTGTCTGCAATAGCCCTACTGTGTTGTAACAAGGTGTGGTAAATGGGCAACTCTGGTAACACTGCCCTCTCATTCATTGATCTGCTAACCGTTATGCTCATGTGTCCTCTGATAATAATAGCTTGCTAGGATTAAACATTATTTGGATAATTGGTAAAAAAAGAAGAAAAAAAATCTCTTAATAGCCCTACTGTGTGTTAGACCTACCTGAAAAACTAAAAAGCAATTTATTTCATTTGTAGGCCTATCGTTATTTTTTATTTGTGCTATCATTAGTAATTTATTTATTCTTATTTTATTATTAACTGCTTAGCCTCCTTGTCATTTTTTTTATTCAATTCAAAGTTTTAAATCAAGCTATCTCATGCTACTGCAACAAAATTACCCCACTGTAAAATCAAAAATACACTGAGTGAGCAACATTTGTTTAATTACCATTATAACTAGCTATCTCACAATGTTTACATATGAATAAAAGCCTACATTAAAATCTGTCATATAAATTGGGCTTTTCATTAGAAATTAGCCTACTGATTGCCACCATTGATGGACAAATGTTTTTAATATTAAAAATCTGTATGACATTATATTCTGCAGTTCTTCCCTGCTTTACCGAATATCTATACTTTTCAAAGTATCATATCGAAGTTAGAAATTAAAATATTGTGACCATTTTGTAGGGTGCCACAAATTTGTTAAAATTTCCAAAGGGTGCCGCCACTAAAGAAAGGTTGGGAAACACTGGGCTAGAGTACTGTGAATCTGACGATGCCTGTATGCCACTAAATCAGAGTGCTGTCAATTGCTGCCTGATTGTTGAATGCAAAGTTTGCATTTGGAGCGCTCAACAATGCCATTAGATCAGTGGGCTCTGTCAGTGCTTTGGCAAGGTAACACTTTTTTTTTGCCATGCAATAAAGCTAAGTTCAAAGGCCAATTTAAAATATTGGTACAGTAAATAGTGCACAAAATCAGTATTTTGTTTAGGCAGTATTTGTGGCACTTTTGTGGCACATTTGTCCAAATGTTGGTGGCAGATTTGTCCAAAAGGTGTGCGTTTTTTGCGCCAATGCATTGTTAAAGGATCAGCGTGTCATGTAATATTCCCATATAAACTTTAACATCCAATTAAAAAAATATTTGTATAGTAAAATTCGCTTATTCACGAGATCAATACATCCTTTATTAGACCGCTTTGTCAAGTTAAATGCAACCTTACGGAGGTGTCGAAATGCTGAATCAATTCATTCACTTCCAACAGCGCTTAATGGGAGCAGCGTCATAGAGGGCAGCGTCATAGAGGGCAATAGGGATTTCGCCTAGGGCGTCAAATTGGCTAGAAACGGCCCTGGCTGTGTATGTTGACTTTCAATACATTCTGCTATATTCCTGCACACAATGCTATCATATGGCTTCTGAAGACTCCGAATATAGTGCGCAAACCATTAAAAATACTTTCAAAGTGGTTTTGTTTTTTGTTTTTTTTGCTGCTTTGTTTTTGTCCTTTTAGGAGCTTTACAGTCCCCGGTGAACATGAACATGAGGGTGAGTAAATAATTACATGATTTTCTCTCTCTCTCTCTTTGACTTTAAAGGCTGCATTTTTGACTTGCTGTTTCGGACGAGACAAGATGGGAAGTTTCATCCTCCAGGAGGGTCAGAGGGCAGGCCAGTGTCCGGACGTAATGTGGGGCAGTGTGGTGTTAATCTGTGCAGCTTGGTCATCTGCAAGAACGGAGGCACCTGTGTTGACTCTGGATCCTCTGTGTAGTAAGACTTCCACTTCAGAACAAGCACCTGTTTGTGTGTGTGAATGACTGACAAATATTATTAATCATTTGTATTTGGCCTTCCCCTCTAGCTGTCAGTGTGTGTTAGGATGGAAAGGTGCTCTTTGCTCAGAGAAAGTGTCGTTCTGTGATGCTGAGCACATCCCACCACCCTCCTGTGCTCGCGGTGCCCCCTGTGTGCCCCTTCCTGATGGATACACATGCCAGTGCCCCCTAGGCTCTGCTGGACTCTTCTGCCAGCAAGGTTAGACCACAATCAGTCTCACTTCCAGGGAACCGCTGGGCTTCTGCAGAAGGATTCAGACAAACATAGTGTAAAAAATAATGTTAACATTTGCAAACTGTACATTTTATATTGTCTCATTCCGCTTTCTAAAGACAGGAGATTATTGACTGTTTTATTATTGACAGACATATTTTTTGTTCTTTTCAGGTATACAGTAACTGTTGGTAGAAAAAGTACACTTCAGTTATTATATTTATATATATATATATATATATATATATATATATATATACATGATGAAAATTACAGGCCTCTCTCATCTTTTTAAGTGGGAGAACTTGCACAATTGGTGGCTGACTAAATACTTTTTTGCCCCACTGTATATAGTAAGTGTAAACAGAAAATATTGTATTTGTTTTTAAAGAAAACAAATTTTCTCATTAAGGCTGCAATAATTTGATCAAAAATACTGTAAAACAGTAATATTGTGAAATACTGTATAATGACACAATAAAATAACTCTTTTTCTACTTTAATGTTTAAGATTTTGTTTATTCCTGTAATGGCAAAACTGAATTTTAATGTTTTTTGCAGGATTCTTTAGTGAATAGAGGGCATTTGTTTGAAATGTCTTTACTGTCACTTTTGATCAATTTAATGTGTCCTTGCTGAATAAAAGTATTAATTTCCTTAGAAATAAAATTTGATTGACTCCAAACTTTTGAACTGTAGTGTGTATATGTGTGTGTGTGTGTGTGTGTGTGTGTGTGTATATGTTTTTTTAAATATATACGTTACAGTATAAAGAGATTTTGTTGCCTTTTATATTTGTCAAGTTAGTGTTGCCTTGAATAATAAACTTGATCAAAATAAAAGCTAAATATTTTTGCCTTTTTATATTTCTCAAGGGAAAAAAAAGAATGCTCTACTGCTCCATGTTCACTTTATGAAAGTCAAGAAGTTGCTTAAATAAGCTTCTTAATATTCAAATAGTAAATATTGGAAACTGTGCTTTCAGATTTCTCTGTTTCTTTTCCAGCTGTATCTATCAGTGATCCCTTCTTCAGTGGGAATCAATCGTCTTGGATGTCATTTCCTCCCATCAACATAAGGCACAGAACCCATCTGCAACTGCAGTTTCAGACTCTTTCACCGGAGGGCATCCTGTTCTACGCCGCACGCTACTTGAGCAGTCGGTCCGGTAAGACAGCATCTTGAAGTTACATTATGCTCAATTAAACCATTTAAGTGTATCCTTAATACATTTTCATACATACTCATATCATACATATCCATATTTAAGATATGTTCAATAACAAATTGTGAATAAAAACAATAGATTATAATTTAGAGTTTGAAATTGTGAACTGAATGCTATTAATTAACATTTATTCTCTACCCATCCAAGGTGATTTCCTCAGCGTATCCCTGTCAGCTGGATTTGTGCAGCTCCGCTATAATCTGGGAAACGAAACTATTGTATTACAGTCTCCAAAAAGTGTAGATGTGACCGGCATGATGTGGCACACAGTGGAGGCTGGTAGAGAAGGCAACCATGGTTTTCTGATTCTAGACGATGAAGCCGTGACCAGGAACTTTTCGGAGGGCACGACCACTCTAGATGTTGGCACAAATATTTTCATTGGTGGCGTGTCCTCCCTGAACACACTGTCCCCAGATGCGATGGAGAAGGAGCCAGTGGGGTTCACCGGTGGCATTCGAGAGGTCATAGTCAACGGGCAGGACCTTGAGCTCACAGAGACCGGCGCACTGGATGGAGCCAATGTTGGCGACTGGGACGGGACAGCATGTGGATATAAGGTTTGCTTGAACAGTGGCTACTGCCATCCAATAGGACTTTCTTCATTCGGGTGTATTTGCCCCTCATTGTGGACCGGTTCACGGTGCCAACAGTCAGTTCACTGTGTCAACAATCTTTGTCAACACGATTCTGTCTGTGTCCATAACACAACGTCTGCTTCATATTCATGTACGTGTTCTTTGGGATGGATTGGGACTTACTGTGACCAAGACGTTACGTTGAGGACTTTAAGGTTTACTGGAAACTCTTATTTGAAATACAAGGATCCAAAGTACAACTCTAGGAATTTGATGTACACCGAGGTGTCATTGAATTTTTCTACTTTATCAGGGGACGGTTTGATCCTTTGGATGGGGAAAGCACACAGTGAAGACGATGACCATCTAGCCGTTGGGCTGCAGGGCGGTTATCTGAAGGTTTCAGTCAATCTTGGTGAGAAAACTGCTCTTCCTCTTGTGTATCAAAAGACTTTCTGCTGTAATCACTGGAATTACCTGTCTATCACTCGCAACCGAACTCTCATCCAGGTCTATGTGAATGAGGAAAGAGTCATTTTTGAAGACATTGACCCCTTTGAACGGTATGTAGCAGTAAATTATGGAGGGATGATTTATTTTGGGGGTTTTGAATTGAAAAGAGATGTGGCGTCAGTTACGTCTGGTGTATATACTAAAGGGTTTGATGGGAGCATTAAAGATGTTTTCTTGTATCGGGACATCAGACAGCTGGAGTTTTTACAAACCAGTGAAGGTTTTAATGTCTATCAAGGTGAAGAGTAGAAAAAATGGCTGTGCGTATTGTTGCTAATTTGATTTTAAGTATTCAGATGTAGAATAGATATGTCAGTGAGTTTTTTTTTTTTTTTTTTTTTTTTTTTTTTTTTTTTTTTTTTTTCAATTTTTTTTTTTTTTGACTTTTTTTCTTGATTTTAAGTATTCAGATGTAGAATAGATATGTCAGTGAGGTTTTTTTTTTTTTTTTTTTACAAATACATGCTCAATGGCACAATCACAGTGCCTGTTTTTAAGAGGTGAAATCTGTCATTTATTGGCATGGTAAAATTATGCTGTGAGGTGGTAGGAGTGATCCAGCGTCAATGATGCTTATGAAAGGTACAAAAACACTGTGCGCGCACAAACTAATTTGTTGTTTGAAGGAACAAAATGAAGAGATGAACACATGATAGCAGGACTGTTATATATTTGTGCCTCTTACTGATTGAGCAGCTGTATTTGTCCACACACACGTTCACCATTTTCAAGGGGGTATGTCTTTTAAATAAAATAATGGGGTGGCTTTTCTGAATTTACATTAACTTTTCAATGGAAAATGTTCAACTTCTACCATAAAAGGCAATCAAAAACATTTACCCCAAAAGTCGTCTTATTTCCTTTTTTGTTATTGTGAAAAACTGTACCTTTTTCTGTGATCTCAGGTGTTATGTTTAATTACAGTGCATGACAATAAAAATGAGCCTCTTTATGAAACAAAGACTTTAATTTCAGTCGCTTTACTAACAATAAAAACATTTTATGAACTGTACATAAACAATGTGCTGAATATGCACATTTCTGTTGTGTGACGAGCCAAAATGTACAAAGAAATATTGGTCACCTGAAACATAGAAAATACTTAAGAAGCCAAATTTAGAAAAATTAAAACGGAAGAATAAAAAGTGAAGCAAAAGAAGCTGTTCTCATCAACCATGAGATGTTTTGTCTCATGGCAGTTTGCGTACAACAGTAGTTTCATTTTCTTGATTACAACCAGCTGCTTGTGAAGACAATGTTAGTGGGTAATTGAAAAGCCAGGTAGGGAAAATATACAATTTTAAAACAAATATTGTTTAGATTACTAAAAAAAGACACTAACTGAATCTCGTACTAGCTGCATTTCCATATAAAAATCATTTTGCAACTTTATAAATAGTTTTCTTCTACTGTTTTACAAATTTAAGGAAAGTGGAGCGATTCCATGCCAAGATCACGAGCGTCTGTCTCTTGAGTCTCTCCTGTGTTTCTCATGATCAGAATCCCGTCTGTGTTTGTCCCTGTCCCGGTAATGACTGCTGCTGTGGTGCCGCTCTCTCTGTTTTTCATGCTTGTCCTCTTTCGAGTGGCGCTCTTTATGACTGTGACTTCTGTCCCTGTGCTTTTCGTTGTCCCTGTCGTAGTGCCTGCTTTTGTGATGGTGTCTGTCATGGTGGTCTCTTTCTCTATTGTCCTTCCTGTAGGTCTCATCAGACCGTCTGGACGGCTTGTCGCCCAAGTCACCACATGACTTCTCCGAACCCTTCTCATCTTTGCTGAGGGGCGAAGAGGTCGGCAAGCTTGACTCATAAATCAGAGGTGGTGCAGGGTGTGTTTGGGGAGGGACGGTTTGAGGCCAAGGTGAAGCGAGCATGTGAGGATCGCTTGGAGGGAACATCTGTGGGGGAGGTGGACCAGGAAGAAATGGGAAAGGCGGAGGAACCTGTGGTTGAAGAGGTAAGTAAGGGGCAGGATAGGCTGGAGGATAATATTGGGGATCAGGTGGACCGGTGTGATACGAATGAAAAATGAGGGCTGGATTATATAATTTAGGGTTAAAAGAAGAGATCCTGGATTGCTTAAGACCTTCATTTTTCCCAATGGAGGAGACTGTGGTGATGGCTTTGATGTCCTCTATGTCTTTGCACTCTTGAGAGGGTTGCGCAGATGGCTGCGGAGTAACTTTCTTTTCTGAATTACTTTCTGGTTGTTGCGGTTTTAACTCGGGAGGTTCAGCTGATGAAGACGTCTTTAAAATACCAGGATATGTCTTTAAAGTCTTGGTGGGACTTGATACGGTTTCGTTTTTGGGGACAGAGCAAGAGCTGTTACTAACAGAATATTTTGATGCATCTGATGAAGTAGTTTCTCTTGTTTCTTGACTAGCTGGTGCAGCTGTGCTGCCGGACACGGACTCCTCTTTGGGTTTAGTGGCCGTGAGAGAAGAGAGGAAACTCTCGGTTGAAACATCTGCAGGTTTGTCACTCAGAGAAAGTATGATTCCACTCTCTTTCTTTTCTGAGCTGGTCTCCAGACTCGAGCTGGATGGAGCCTGCTCTGTTTTAACAGCTTTGGGGTCTTTTTTCTTGATAATGAAGCGGTCAAGTCGAGGAGCGCTGGTTGTAGGTTTAGGATGGATTGCTACATTGTTTCCACTGTCAACAGTTGGAGTCTTGGACACAGTTATTGTAGAATCATTCTTTACAGTGTCGCTCAAAGATGATGCCGCATTTCCAGGCAACTTCAGCACCCCGGGAAGAAAGCGCAAACAAACATTCTCATCGGTCTCCGTATTCAATATCGGTTCTTCGACGACTGACTTAATTAAGTCTGCAGTGTCTTTTTCCTGCGTGCTCCCCAAAACGCTGACAAAACTTTGCTCCACGTCTTGAGCCACAGGAGCTTTCTGTGGGTAATCGACATGAGGTTTGCTTTCTGCCAAGAAGCTTGGAGCTTCGCTGACATCGCTTGCCAGGATCACCCCAAAGTCCCTTTTCGGTCTCTGGCGAATTACCAATCCGAGAAGAAGATTGGGACGATTGGTCTCCAGTCCTACAATGTGGAGGATTACACACAATTAATATCAAGATTTTTGTTGCAAAAATCATGCTGATCCTACAAATGAACCTGCAAAGAAAGTCTCACCTGGACCATCAAACGGAACAATCTGGTGGGGAATTTTTTCTGTGGAGCCGAGAGGAATGAGATACATGTCTTTAACTTGTTTGCGGTTGTTGGCAACAACTCCATATCTTCTTCGGCTGCTAAAATAAGCGTACAACAAAGTATACGAGATCTCATCTTCCTCGTTGTCAGGGGTGAAACGAATAACGCATATTTCCTGGGGGAAAAACAAAAAAGTTGAAGTCACAAAAAGCAAATAGTCATATATAGACTGATAAATCATTCCCACCTTTGTCCCAGAAGCACGGATTTTCTCGACATAATCCCAGACTATTTGAGGGGAGATACGTCCACCTACTTGGAAGTTGTCCGGCAAATCCTGCAGACACAATTCGATATGTTTCTAACACATCAGTTCCAATGCCTGACTGACACATTTAGGATGTACTACAAAATGTTTGAATGCCACATTACCAGAGTTAGGTGGTCCAGTATTCCAGAGACAGGATAAGCTTTTGTTAGAAACCTCGCCACAGCTGGCATATCAACAAAGCCGCCCCACAGGCTTTCAAAACTGCTGAGGAAAGTAGCTGTATCTTCTTTGCTACTCAGACTATCCGACCTGTTAAAGCAGCAATTTCTTCAGCCTTGCTTTCGAAACATGGGATTACTTAAATCATTTGCTTAAATCAGGAATCTTACCTGGATTCGGGCAAAAAATTAAGGAGGCCTTCCTCCATGGCCCTTAAAGATAGATCGTCCATCAGTGCTGACGTAGGTGTAGTTGTGGAGTGCTGAGATTCATCTGTCATACTAGACTGCCTCCTCACAACTGTTGTAGCCACTTTTACCACCTTTGTAGCAGCTTCCTCTGTAGGTGGAGCCATGCGACCTTCAGAGAAACATCAGAATCATGGTAAGTTCGTTGTACCATAAAAACATTCTGCAACTCTGAAAACTTTACTAATAGCTACTTTTTGCAACTTTGACAAAGCTGTTAAACATTGTTAAAAAGAAAGTTAACTATTAAGATGCCTGTACACAAGCTGTTTTTTACACGAAAAGAGGGAGTTTCTTAATGGACTTAATTTTTCAGACTTTGATTGTTTTTTTGTGCAAAAAAAACTTTGCTTAACATAAGTAGACCCAAGATACTTTTTAGTTTAGTATGATGTAACCCCTTCACCAAAAAAAAATAAAACATTTTTAAAAGCTGAACTTTATTTTAACGTTTTACCTGTGCAAATTTTGCAGTTGAGGTCAAATAGATGAGACTTGTGCAAGTTGGTGGTATCTATAGATTTCTTAGGACTGTCAGCTTTAGTCTCGGGTTTTTCTTCAGGCACTTCTGCAGCTTTCGGCACAGGCTCTGGCTGAAGACACACAAGGAAAATTTTGAAAGCAATTTTCTTTTTCCTTGCTGGAATATATATATAAAAAAGCTGCACAGAATGGAGCATTAAGTCTCCCAAATCTCACCTCAACCTCTATGGCCTCTGGTGCCTTGGCAGGCTCCTGATTCTCAATTTCAATTTCCCCTTTATGGGTGATTTTAGTGATAGGACGTCTCTCAACCTCTCTCTGTTCTTTCTCAATCATTTCAATTGTCTGCCAGCAGAAACATCAATAGGGTCAACAATCAATATCAAAATCTGAATGACTTTGAAATGACTTTTCTGATGGACAAATGTCCCACTGAATATTATTTATATAACTCAGAAAGTTAAAACACTTTGCAAATGCCATTATGCTGTTTAACAAAAAAATAAACTGAGATTTTGGAAAAGCAACAGAGCTACAATGTTTTACTAACATGTCGATTCTCTCGTCGTCTCCAAGCAGCCAGTTCCTTAGAGGCCAGCTCTTCTGCAGTCATACGCACCAAATCTGCAGGGGAAACTTCCCCCTTGAGCACTCGCTTGAATAACACCTGCAAAGGAACATTTATTTTCATTTAGACAGCATTAGATTTTTAGAAGTGAAATGAAAATAGGTAAACGATAAATATATGCTGCCCAGAGACATACGATTTTATATTTGACGTATAATATTTCAAGTATTTTACAATGTTGTTGCAAAATTGTTATGATTGTTTTTCAAAAGTATATGATATATTACCAAAAATAATGTTAAATTACTTACATGATTTTTTGCATCTTTCAGATTGAAAGTCAAACTTCTGTATTTATTTTTGTATTTGCTGTCAACA